TATACATATATATATAATTATTTTTCTTCCCAAATAAAATACACTTGTTCGTATAAGAATCAATTGGAAATTCAGCAGCTAAAAACAAGGATTTTTCGTATCATCCATTCCCGCTCGTTACCATCACATGAAACTCATCCCTATTCCACTCGTACTTCCCCTTATCAAACGGCTAATATAATTTAACGGCATTTTGTCACAATCATCGTTCTCACCTGCACAGGAACGTACTTTGCGTGCATTATGGTGATGGTGGCATTCTCGGTCGTGATGACTGTCGTCGTGCTTAATTACCACCATCGAAATAAGGAAACCACGGAGATGCCCCGGCCGGTACGTGCAGATATCAATTGCAAATGTATGCACATACGCGGAAATTTCATTATAAATAATAATGCTCTTCGTAACGGTCGACCAGTTATAGAAATATTTGATGAAGTCATGAACAAGGCCGACAGTGAGCCGCCAGGATATCATTAAAAAACTAACCATGTGACATAATATCATTGCCAAATATATATAATTTCTGCTTTGAATCTGGATTTAGAAAAGTCAATACTGCCTATACACACAGATATATATACACATATAGATGTGTGTGTTTGTACGTGACTGAAATATCACGCAACAAATGTGACTATAAGTTGTTATGTTTTTTTTTTTTTGATTTGCTTACCAAATACACAACAACAAATAAAAGACTAAGATACTTTGTATTTAGTATATTTTGATAAAATCAGACGCCAACTTCGTGAGTGAGTAATACCGTTTTGAATATTACCTATTGAACGAATAAACTAGATTAAACTACAATAAGGAAATTACCTATACTATACAACGCAGTTCGTTCTTGAGAACAATGCTAAATAACAATTTTTCCTGCAATACAAACACGCACCGATATGGAAATTTTTATCAAGAAGGGAAAAGTTTATGCTCATTGGAGGTTCATGGCTAAAATTACTTTTAATTAAACATTATGTGCCGCATTACATTACTCTGTCCCGATAGAAGCGACGTCATAATACAATTTCGGCCGTACCACACACAGATGATACGTACAAATTCGATCGTTCTCTATCTTAGAAAGCGTGTGGGCCTTTACTCTTATACCGCTAAACCGCCTACGTTACTACTCGATGTCTGTGACCGACTCTTCACCATACTGACTATATCAATATTCATTTTCAACAACATCTACTCGTCAATGGCACAACAATTGGCTACTTGTTCTTCACAGTTCAGTATGAAGATGATTGCAGACGCTTCTAGCACTGCTGTTTATTCATAATACGTTACTAATCAAGTATATCGAACTTGTATTTGTTATTAAATCTACTCTTAATCTCCTCTATTTGATTCGTAGGTCAAGTCGCTGTTCCTGGTGTGGCTGCCCTGGCTCCTACGGATGGATGTTCCTCAGGGCGTGAGCCTAAATCCCCGCCGACGGCAAGGAAGCGGGCGAGACAACGTAGCTCCCGTTAAGAGTAATCACGCCTCCAAGATACTCAAGGAGCTCGAGCTCAAAGAACGTTCGAGTCGCAGCCTCTTAGCGAATGTGCTAGACATTGACGACGACTTCAGACCTGCCAACTCCGCGTGTTTCCTACAACCGCCGCCGCCACCGAGGTAAGAAAACTAGAGAACACCTTGTGGGCCGCCAAAACGGTGAGTGAATCGATGAAATCGTGGGTACCTTATCCAGTGAACCTATATCTTTACTTCAGTTACTATGCTATTACCACATAGCGTGGCGCTGTCATTCCAGGCCAATATCCTAGGCTAATAAGAAAAAAATAAGACTTTGCAAAGAGTACTGGATCTTATGATAGAATAACTACGCTACTATAAAAACAACCAAATAGTTTTGTTTTTTTGTCTAAGACGTCCTTTCGTCAAGTAAGCTTCTACGAATTTTTAAAGTTTTGAATTAACACAATATTGGCAGAAATGAACATACTCTCACGTTAGTACCTTCTGCTCTGTGTCCAGTACTACGTAATACAATGTTTTGTTAGTCTTAAATTAAACAACGACACTTTTTTGCCTAACTATACTAAGCTGTAGCTGTCAGTAGTGCTCTAGCCAGGTCTCTGTTAAATTTCTTCCTCATTCGACTTCGCGTAGGTCTCAACCTCCGTGTGTGCCGCCCCTCCACCATCACCAGTCTTACCACGACATCACGACCGAATCGACGGCTGCCACCATCTCTTCGGTCCCGCCGTGCTTGCAGACGCAAAGAGATCTCGCGGACATTGTTCGCGAACTTAAGTACATCACCAACAGGATGAGAAAGGAGGAGGAAGAGCACGAAGTGGTAGGTGGTAAAAAGAGCCAAAGAAAGATTTTTGCTCCCAAGACGAATCGTCGGGGAACTGTCTAGCTTGTTCAGTGTCTAGCTAGCAAGTCTTCAGTTCAACCAAATGAAGACTGACCAGTCAGCTTTGTTTGGATCATCTCTGCTTTGTTCTCACCCGGAGCGTATCGTAGAGGGAGTCACGCATGACTAGATTATATCATAAATACTCCCCAACACACTTGCATACGTATTACCTACAGTGGAATAGATCCAAGGAGCGGACGGAGGTGCATTTGAGTACTGTTTCGCCGTCTAAGCGTCTCCTGATAGACGTTAATGATAAGGCCGACTGATGTGGGACTGGCTTGCAAACAGCAAAAGGATTCGCCAATAGATTTGTTCGCTGCCCCCTTAACGCCCGCCACCACCACCGCCGCCGCAGGGAGCAACGAAGTCCATCTGTTTTGTTGCCTATGAGAGGCAAGCAAATCGGTTGCCGCTTAGACATAGTAGCCAGAAACAGGAGTGGATGTCTAGGGCCGCACGAATCGACAAGCCCGCATTGATGAAAAGAACAACAAAAATATGCTGCATGCTGTACATATTTGGTCTCGGGAAAGTAAGTGGGTATAGTCATTCCGGGCCCGGCATAGTTTTATGACAGGATGATAAGGGGAACGACAAGCTGGCTTAACGTGTAGTCACTCTGGGATGACCTTACTAGTAAGGGTGCGTTCGGCCCTGTGGGGTATAGAGCAGTTGTGGCTAGCGGCAGAATACAGAAAACACTAAAAAAAAAACCTGCCGACAGTTTACGACGGTGATCGCTCCTAATTCGTTATACTTTACTTCTGCCCGCCACCCCCGAGTTTATCTTTTTTTTGCTTCAGTGCCTCTTTAGCATTCTCTCGTTCTTCGCCATAGAAGTTCGTGGTTAAGCGATGGATCATCAATTACGGTTTATTAATGGACGAAAACCGAGCGAGCAATAAAGAAATAATATCCAGTCTATCGAACCAGCGAATTCGATCTGGCAAGAACTTCATTGACAGCGAAATAATAGAATCATCTAAAAAAGGATCTTAGCAGTGTGAGAAGTATAGTTCTTCGATTTCACATGAGTGAGTGGCCTGTGGTCAGCTTATACACCGGCAAGAAGATTCAGTGGTCTCTCTCGACGTCTAGGTTCAACGTAGGCGGTCATTTGATGGTTTCGATAGAGGCCAAAGTCATGATACTGCCGTGAACGAGAAGGCTGACGCCAGCAATAATGCAAACCGTTCATACTATAAGTTCACATTTAGTAAATGCAACCCAGTTCCTAGATATTAGCAGTGTATTTGGATATACTATGAAAGCATAGAATTATCACTACTAGTGGTGATCATCTAATAGTGAACATAGTTGGCATCTATTTCAAAGCTAATTTATATTTTCCTGCCATATTTCGGTTTTTTTTTTTTCTTGCTTCTCTCTAATGAACACAACAGGTATCAGAATGGCGCTTCGCGGCTATGGTGATCGACCGAGTGTGTCTGATCTTCTTCACAGCCTTTACGATCATCTCAACAATTGCCTGCCTCTTCTCGGCGCCGCATCTCATCGCCTGAACATCAATCTATCATCATTAACATCCATTACCATCAACTCATCATCAATTTGAATTACTAGCCATCATCATCCAGAGCAACAACAATAATAATGCCTCTATGCTGAGGCGACGCAATGGGTGAGCCGTCATTAGCAGCTACCATAGCTATAGTTTTACATGTTGTCCTATTAGTATTGATACTAAGTGGTTACCGTATCCATTTGTGCCATCGCAATGCTGAAAAGTCGTAGACTAAATTGACAAATTGACTGATTTCTCCAATTGTCACGTCTTCAGCTTTACTTGTAACGATCGAAGAAGACTCGGGGATCATTTCGCCGAGCGAATGAGAGAACACTTTAATACTACCAGCCTTAGCCCAGCCCGTTCCAATAAACGGACGGTAATTGCTCATATTTGACGGCTCATTTGGTCGTCGCCTTAGGCGCCGCTATAGTCGATGAAGCGCCAATGATACAAAGAAACCGGTCGACGTTCATTTGACAGTAACAATAGGTGAATGAATTAGCGCTAGACTATGAATCAACAAGGAGACGCTGCACGGCTGAGCGTCCGTCAAACGAGCTCCGTTCAGGCGAACGTAATAGCGAGTCGTGGAAGGGGATGTTTCCTTTTCGAACGAGAGCAAAGGGAAGAAAGAAGCGAAAAAGTAGATTTCAGAGTAAAAATCAGAAATACTTATGAAACAGGCCGATGAATACACCCGTTCCCTCAGCCGGTGGCGAGCCGCGCCGTTAATCTGTAGCATGCGTTTCAATTTCGGCAGTAGCAAACGCCAGAATTCGATAATCATCGGGCAGAAACGGACGACAAGCAGTCCATGGCAGAAGTGAAAGCAATAACTATACAAGTGCTTTTGTAGTGAGCGAAGAATAAAAAAGTAGATACATGCGACAGGAGTCGTTTACGAGTGCCGCCACAATCTTATGCGCAAGCAACAGTAAACCTCTAAGAAAAAGCAAATCGGAATTATACACATCGATCAGTCAGTGGCGACGGGCTTGACAAAACAAATCAGAGAAAAATAATGATAAAATTATGCCTTAAGCCACCCGCCCCCGCTAATTAGGCCTACCTCAGAAATTTATGTTGTTAAAATTCATCTATTTATGAATAACAAAGAAAAAACTACTAACACCATGATCAGAATTTTTCAAATGGCTAATTACCTTTTTCAGTGCTTGCGATAATAAGAACGGGTGTTTGTTTTTCCGGCACACGACCTTATTACACAAGCTTCAACAGCCTTCACTATGCATTCATTGGTTCCAGGGCATCTGCATCCGCGTATCATTGCATACTGGAGGGATTCAAACGACGAATCACAGAATATTCTACTATAAGTAAGAAAGAAGTACACAGCGTAAACGGGACTACTTTTGCAAATCTAATCGATCGGCAAATTCAGCACGGCGAGAAATATGTAAAAATTTGTACACCTGCATGCAACATAAAATATGCCCAGGAATAAGGAGAAAAAAAGTACTCGAAATTTATCTGATTGCAAAGGGCATTTTCCTTCTTACCCGTTGGTCGACATTTTGAGAACCGTTCCAATATCTGTTTCTGAAACTACTGTTTCCATCAATCGACTAGCGGGACTGGCTCCGCTATCAATCAGGAACGATCTATTCCTTAGAAATAGGTAGTGAGCTGAACGATCACCTAATTAAGATCTTTCGTGTTTTCAACGTGCGGAAGCAAGCTACTAGTTTTTCGTTTTAACCAAAACCCGATACAACCAAACGCCTTATGATTGAAACGACTGCTAGAAAAATGCGGAAAAACGACTGCGGTGAAAAATGTTTTTTTTTTCTTTGAGAAGCTTTATTCGTTTGAGCCGCTGATAATAGTCGATGAATTCACTAGAGTACATTCACTTAAATCTTCATCTACAAACCCTAAATCGTGGAGTAAAGTAGCGCTTTATGTCCAGGTCTAGTCGTTGTCGCAAACTGTCAATGAACATCTGGTTTCATGTTCATCATTATTTAGAATTTTGTAACACTCATTGACTTTTGTAGCCCTTTAGACTAACGGTACATCTCTTCATGTCATTGAAGTAACGGAACTTCGTTCCCAAGGTGAAGAAATCCTCTCTCATTCTACACAAAACAAAAAAAAAAAAAGAAAAACATATAAAACTTGGCTGACAGCTGTGACATTGTAACAGTACACATTAAATAACAGCACTAATAACAATTTGTTTAACCTATGATCATGAACGACGACAGCCACTAGTTGAATAGCAGAAAAACGGAGATATTAATTGATTGATCACCATTATAGAACAAACAAATATAATGTTCAATCAAAAGAAACGACGCGAACAGAGAGCACTAACTAACTAACGCAAACGAAGAGAAAACGATATCCATGGTGTACAATGGAAGCGTTACACACAGCGACTCGAACCATAATTCAGCGAAGATTCTAGCCATGGACACGCGGATGTCCAGACTATCAGCATCGTTTCCAGCCAAGCAACACTGAGCAACATCATCAACGAATGAAATACACTAAGGATAATAATAATAATAGTACTAATAATTTTAATAATTATAATACCAGTATAATAGCAATCCCAGCACTAGTGCTACGGAAACACAAGCGCGATGAGACATCGTCACTTCGCCAAGAGCAACGACGTGGAAAATGACTAGCAATAACAGCAACAATAGCAGCAGGACAACAGCCTAGCTTTATAAAATAGTCACCTACTGCTGCTTTCGCCGGCAGAGAACACTGTCGCAACGGGGATGTTATCATCGACGCGGGGATCGAGCAGTCGAGGCGGGTTCAGTTCCGGCCGCGGTGGGCACGAAAGAAGAAGTCACACGCTTTCTGAGTGATTACTTTACCCAGTCAAACAATAAATCCATCCAAATGGCAGCTAGATAACATTCCCCGCACCCGAATCCCGTTCGTTTCTCTTCCAATTAACGAACCTGTGTTTACCCGAATTGATTGTAATCCCATACAAACCCTATAAGATGGCCTATCGGCTAGCTCATTATGCCACTGGCTTGCAGGCACAGCGAACTAAAAGACGCAATTTCATACGATGAGAATGCCAAACCAACCATCCAACCGTGTATGAATACCGTACGCTTTATAATACGGTAAAAGCTGGTACTCAGTTAATGCATCCACTTCATTTTGTCACACTGAGAATGATGACGGTTTCGTGTGACCGACGACGGCCAAATAAGCGTTCATAGCAGTTGTGACGAACAAGAAATTTCGAAGAATATTCAGCGGTGTAGGTATCTATGTCTACGTGTAATTTTTGTGGCACGAGGACTAAAATGGAAGGCGTGCACTCGATCCGATCGACGGTTGTCGTTTAATTTGGTCAATGCTTGTTGGTACATGTTACTAGCCACAACAAAACACGAATTTCAATAGTTGCTAGTGAATCCAATGTCCTGCTTTCAACGCTAAGCCGCTAATGAACCTAGCTTACCGTCCTTCACACTCGATTAGATCTAAAAGAGGCGTCGCCATCTTTCTATTTGTCCTTAAGTTGTTTGTGACGAGATGTAATCAGCATGCGGGTATCTACTATAGAGTACTTATGACGTTACTAATCTTGCTGCTCATTGAAGTGCCTTTCATGGTTGCACGAACAGTATCGGCCGATAACCAAGCATATGGACTTTGACACGTAGAACAAAATCGGCAGGCGAAAAAATAACCTAACAAAAAAAGGTTATTTGCTGTTACATGTTTTGTCAATGCTAGACGTCTTATGTTGCTACACGTTGTTATTATTATCACTGCTCTCCATAGCTAAATACTTCAGTACTATAAAAACAGCCTGTGGCGAAACACTTCACGCAGACCTCATGTAACGAAGAGATGCGATAACGAAATCTTTACTCGAGCAGAACCGGCGACAACGAGCGTTGCGTCAAACATCTCTATATATACTTACGTACATGAGTTTAAAGGTTAAAGGCTGAATTGTCGCGGGATAGAGAGAGAGAGAGAGAGAGACGAGGCTAGTATTAATATATGTAATGGAATGATGTACGTAAAAAATTGATAATTTTATCTACCAATCTGGAGGAAAGTGAAAACGAGTACCTTTTCTCAATTTTATGTGGGTACGTAACAGTCAAGATTTTCAAATGGACACCTGTTAGAAAACTAGATATCAACGCGCTATGCTGGATATGTGAACGTTCTCTACTTCGATGCGAGCTTGCGTAACGGGTAGTTTCAGATGTACTACATATGTATATATGTGACAATAGTGAAATCATGTCAAATTTGAGGTGGACAGGGACGAGGTTTGTTTGCTCCATTGTGCCAAAGTCAGTCTGATTTTATGACCAATTTCAATGCCTGATCCCTTGCGGTCGTTGAGTTCTGCTTCGGAATTACTATCACAACGTAACAGTTTTTTGCTGTTGAGCTAGAATCTTAGCAGAGCGACTAATTTTCCTTTTGACTGCCATTATCCTTTACGAAAGTGAGTTTAAGTGCTTAAATTTCAGATATTCCTTCTAAAGTATAGGTCTAACTAACGCAGAACTAAATAGAATTCATTTAAATCAACTATTTATAATCAGCTCTGAATTCACCTATAGCAACAAAATTTGGACACTAGCATGGGCCTGGGTCAGCTGGAGAGGATAAACTGTGAAAATTAAAAAAGAAAAGAATGGAAAAGTGGGAGCGTGGTTAACTTAAAAACGAAGAGAGCGGATCGAGTCGGTAACTCGAAGACCCAGTTAAATCCGATGCATGCCATTCAGAGGAACAGGTAGAGAGTCTAGTTAAATGGATTTACCAGTCTGTCGAGGGTCCAGCTTACACAACGGGGATAGTATCGAAAAAACCACGACGAGTTCATACGACAATCGATTACCTAACCATACAAGCAGCCTACAGCAGCGTTACCTGCAAGCACTAAACAAACAGCTCGGGGCAAAGGGCAAGCAAACTAATAGCCTCATCTACGTGCTGGATACAGGTACCACCAAGGATCGAGAAGCAGCTGGTTATCATCAGTAGATTTCTTTGACGCAGGAGTAGCACGATGTATTGCATCTACATATTTTAGTTATGAATTTCGGTCACCGAACATGCATAAGTCGTGCATAATGGATCTCAGTCGGCCGCAGCGTGTCATCTCACCAGCGTTCTGTTGCCGAGAGGAACCATGTATTACGGTGCAAACTGGCCTCTTGGCTAAAGTACCCTCTCTATGGCGCTCGTACAGGACGCCGTACGAAACAAGCCAGAAAAATGTTGCAAAACAAAGTGGAAATGCTCGACATCACTTCACGCTGTACTGCGTTCATGTGACGTTGTTTGCCATGCGTCTCTTCGGATGGATAAGCCGACACTTCTAGCTCCCTAATACCTCCCTTAAGTGAAACTCTTGATGGCTTTCAGTTTGATGAAGAAGGCAAAGCTAAACCCGGAGTTCAAATTGGCCCGAGCTCATATAAAGAGTGTCTAGAGACGGTCACTTGTTTGCACGACATACTCCTATCTATATGTATATGTGTGTATGTGTGTCTCATGCTCATGTATGGGAACACGGAGCGCCTCTAAAGAGATAGTGTCAATTGCTACTTGGAGCAATTACACGATTTGTGTTAACGAGAGCTGGCAACAAACGATATGTGTAGAGGTGGAGTTGTCTGAGCAGCATAATACTAATGGTCATGTTTCGGCAGGTATGGACCTGGCTGAAATCTCGTCGGATGTACGTGGCGGACACGCCTTCTACACTGGATAACACAGAAAGGCACCAAACAGTACAAAACAACTCGGAGTTAGGACGGAAGAAGCTGTGTTTGAAACAAAATAGAAGCGATACAAAGAGCTGGAAAAGGAACGCCAAACATAGATGAACTAAAAGTTTGGAAAAAAGAAGTTAACACACCTGATTACAGATTAATATTACGCACGCGTATAGAGGTTGATATACGTATTAAGGGAGAGCGCAACGGGCGTTAGAAAAGCTAAGCAAAAAGATGAGCTAGAAAGCGAACACAGCCAATCTCCCTTCTCGGCCAAAGTCCGGAAGACTATCCGTGACACATGGCTAGCGTGGGTTGAATGGCCTTGTCCAATCAGTATCATGCAATGAGTTCTGCAAACGGCCCGGGGCCTAGCAACCTATGACGCAAAACAATTCCGACAGGCGTCTGTATAAATATTTAACTTATATATATTGACTAAATTTATCAGTCTATTATATAGTTGTCCACAATACATTCGAATGCTACTCTTGATGTCCAAAATGGTTTGTTATGCACGGTGACCTGCATTGTCATAAGCATTGTCAACGATTAGATGGTTATAACCTCACTGAAATTACCTTGATGCCAGCCACACTGGCAGGCATCAAACTACAACTATTCAGTAACTGTTCTTTCAACGAATCCGCGTTGAGGGGTGATAGATTTAATGAAACAAATTTCATACACGCGGTTAGAGGCAAGCCAATACTTACCATGAAAAGTTGAAATATTCGTTTAACATAAAGCTATAAATCACTGACAATGCTGTTCTATAACGCAGCGATATTGACACTTGAAGCTTACATCAGCTGGTAAGGCTATTTACATAGCAACCTATACATCTAGCGAGTAGTAACGACGATGCTAAACCTCTGTCGAGCGGTTGCAAACATCACATTCGTAGCTACTATCATACCAAGTAACAACGTCACTTAGTATCGGATGTTTAGATACAAGCCATGAAAAGCCTTCCGGTAGCATTTAAACATTTTTTGCACTCTTCAATGGATGGATGACGACCCCTCGCTGACATCATATCTACAAATCACCAGAGCATCTATCAATAGGACTCAGCTCATGAACGCGTACTCGAGACCTAGTCATGACATGCCATCACTAAGAAACGTCACCCGGTACTGGACTGAAATGAAAAGTATACACCTTAGCTAAATAACGTGAACTAAATGTTTATATAAATCACGAATTAATAATTAAAGCGGTGCTACTAACCTTCAACATTCCAGCCTAGGTCAATCCAATGATCCTTTTAAGTTCTTTTTTTCCTTTCAACATTTATAATTCTAACTAAATCCTGCATAGTTTTACGTGCCTGAAGCTGTCGGAACTGAGCTGCGTACGAGCCGGCCAAACACCCTGCCCCTCTCCAAAACGAACCCCTTCAAGAGTAATCACACGTTTCGCTGGATGAGGAAATCGTTATTAAGTTTTTAACCAGTCGAGCAAGTACTCATCATCTGACGCCCCTGCACCCATCTGCAAACTCTAACGACAATATTTCTGCCTATTTACGAAAAACACATTATACGTATTAAGCGTTCTCCAGCATCTATCGCCTATTGCAGTGGTGGAAGTGACGCTATTTAACTACATAAGTAGCACAGGTGTATTTGAAGGAAAGGTAACAAACATATACAGTAATAACCGAATAGCACACAGACACACTGTGCTGTAATAGTCGAATCGTAGACATACATGTACCTAATCCAGCATTACTTCAATAAAAACAATCATATGGTCTGGTTACGTTTCTCAGCATAGAGATGCAAATACTTGTATCGAGCTGTTTCTAACAATTGAATGCATACAATTGTCCTATTTGTCGCTCCGGTGACCGAAGGTTCCTCAAAGGACACGTACGATTATATATATCTTCATTGCAATGAATCATCGTTCACTCTGTAGGCCTCACTCAGCCGGTTGTTTTACATATTTTTTTTTTTCAAACCCGCATCAGTATAGTTGTAGCGCTATGTATTACATTGGACAATTTTTTTTTATCTTTCATGTGAGTTAGGACGAAGACATTACAACGGTTTGTTTGTCCTGGTGTGCATAACAGCGATAATTCTACAAGTAGCACCTGTGCATAGTAATATTGAACAACAGAGCTAACATATGCCAATAAGTATGTACACGATAATTAAGCAATGGCAACATTGCCTAAGCTGAAATTTTTCCATATGATTGGTCCTCGAAAAATTACAAAAAAACTTATAGGATAATTATAGTTAATTAGTTTTATAATATTATATATATATATATAATACGGAAAAGGCCCTAGCTAGCTGTAAACTCTAATTTTAATGACGTAACCGATGATGCTTTAATACAGTCAATGTATTAACCATAATTAGCTGAAGCCCAGCAAAGCTATCGATCTGATAGAAAAACCAAATTATGCAAAATGCATATAATATCGATCATCATCACCGATGTTTTTCGTAACGCAAGTTTTCCTTTAAATAAATACGGCAAAAGACACTTATTCTACTGTAGCCTTTGGGGGGGGGCACCATCTGCAAGCCCCGGGGTGTTGTTATATTGTCGTCAAACGTTACTTTCGCAAACGCACATGTTCACGTTCGTATAAACAGTCTATCTTGAGTAACTCGTAGATCTAAATCACGCCTCCTACATTTAGCTTTCTAATTCGTACTGTACATAAGGATTCATATTTTCCCCGGAACGATAAACCTATTGTCTTATCGTTCATCGCCCGCCTAATGTTTCTAACGAATTAAAGCTATGTTCTAAGATTTGAGAGAAACCTATATATCTAATGATTGGCTGATGATCTAGCTTTTCTAAACCTCTTTTCTGAAGTGTCATTAGAAAGCGTACCGTTTTGGTATTAAAATCGATTTTTTTTAACTTCCGTAAAAATTCGTGCCTCTTCGTCAATTGACATGCATAGTGCTGAAAAAAAAAGGTACATATATGAGAGCTTGAAGATATCAGGAACAACAGCCATCGAAATATGCCGATAACAGCACGTATAATAGCAACAAAGCGGATAGAAAACAGAAATGTGTGATAAAACAACGATAGCAATAGCACTTGGGGCATCTGCGGACGAAAAATCCCAACAAAGTGTGCAAAACGTTACGATCAAAACGGTCGAGCCACAAAGAACAAACCGGCAGCATCGATAACACAACAAACACATAGAGCTTACGGACGATAACATCGATCCTGAGCTAATCAACAGCACTCCTTTGCTCGGTGATAAAATTATACTATTACCACGTCTATATTTTTTCTGGCTTAATCGAAGTAACCAAGATGTCTCAGCACAATGGACAGTACACCATTAGTAACAGTCGATACCAATCAAGCACAACAGGCCTTTAGAGTGATCGTAATGCCCACGGCAACAACAGTGGACAGCAAACCAACCACCGTATCGTTGGCTAAGAAAACGGTTGAACAGCCATATCCTCATGACAAGGTGAGCTTTCCTCCATGCGTAATCCTTACTCATCGATAACAACACCATTGAGGTGACTTGATAAAAAGTGCACTTGGTACTTAACAGCACCATGCAACTAGCGGTCTCGATCACCGTATAAAGGCCGCTAGCTACCAACGGGTGCGCACCTTGGGCTCCACTACCCCTGCAATAATTGGTGAGCTAGCGTCGCTCGACGAGTCAACCGGATACGGTAGTAATTTTACGACTATTACACATGTAATAGTAATTATCCTGTAAAGAAAACACAGATCGATCACTCGAAGAACATGGATGTCTACCGCGATTTTATTTGCACGCAATATACGTACCTAACATCAGCAACTAGTCGCAAGAATTGCATGAACGTGCATGATTTTATCGTAACATTGCATGATGGAACATAATTACACATAAGCCCGTAAATGCCGACTAGCAGTAAGTGAATTTCGGAACGGAGAACAACGATCCGCACTGTCTTCTCTGAACCGACGTCTGAATACGACCCGGGTAGAAGTACACGACCGTCGACGATGGTCCGAGACGGAAATATAATCGAGACTGCAAATGACAACGGAGATCTTCGCAAAAAGTTTTACAGATATTCATACTCCATATGCAGCAGACTTCGACACTCGTCAATCAGATGAAAATTAACGATACGATAAATTTGTTCGTAGAAGTTTTTGACGCTTGAACCTTTCTTGGCCTCTTCATTTTCTACTTTCCATTTTCTCTCAGCTGTATGGCTAAGTAAAGTGCCAGTGATTGAATCTGTATTTAGTAGATGATGCAACAAACGGCGAACACGTATCGACACGCAAACACAGTACACAACGACCGTAGAATACCGACAACAACAACGGCGGCAGCGACACCGTTGACGACATCAGTTACATCATTAATTAAGTCAGTCAATCAGGAATCACTGACTAATCGGTACGGCCGCGATGACAGCGATAGACAGTATATGTCTAATGAATAAGACCTACGGACACTAATACGATAACAAGATTGTAATGGATAGATCGATAATGAATGATTTCACTAACCCTTCATATGGAAGTTGCAGCATCCCGCATTTACTCAAATTACACTTTCAATTATCGTGGAAGTGTAGAAGCATCGTAACGACAACAACGTGAAGTGGTCCACTTCCACGCTGAGGATCCGTGATTGCCTGTTAGAAGAGATGCGCAGCTCAAAAACCGTCAAGCAGATGTTATCTTGGACCCACGTGGACCACTAAATTTCGGGTTACGTGTATCATCCTTGAGCGTTTTGGACTCTGTTACCAGCACTATCTGTCATAAACGATAAATAAAAATCCACAGCGCTCGCTACGAAAAGCGAAGGAAAAAGAACTAATGACAGACCCCGAAAGAACAGCGAGTGACGCTAAATGGAAAAGGAACAAGCAAGACTATATACACATCATATATCTTATAGAATTTCATCTACAAACTGTGACGGTATAAAAACATAATATATTCTTCATTGTTGTATTGTTCGTTGTCGTAGGAACTGAGCACAGTTTAATGGCGCTGTTGTTTGCCTTGCAGGACATACAGTAGGAAGCAGTCCTAATTTGCCGTTATTCGGTTTTCGGATACTGAGAAGAAGTGAGTGCCGCTTCTTTACCTCGCTGAATCCGAACTGTTTTCTCGTATTTTACGAGTTCGTCTCCTTAGGGAAGCGCGCATCGAAGCGCGACTGTGACCTGTCTATCACAGAACGCGTGACACTCCATTATGAAACACAAAACCATTAGAAAAGAGCTAATGAATTATTGGACTCATACAGATTCAATAAATCCACGGGGTACGCTCAACAGTACAGAACGTCTACGACAAGCCTTGTCGACAAGCTTGTCGTAGACGTTCTGCACAGTTCGACACAGATGTAGATTCTATTCCAGTTACTCTTGTTAAGGTGCCCTTCTGCAATTACTTCTGGCCGAGCTCAGCCCTTAGCAGATTCATTCGTAACCCGCCAACATACATTTATACATATATGAAAAAGCATACATTTATGACAATACATTTTGGAGAGAATTACGTGAGCATCGTCTAGTAGCGTTCTCTCCCCGACTCTGTCTTCCCTTCTCTAAGCTCTTAAGCTAAATGGCCGCGTAGGAAATTCGGCAAAGGAAATGGGGTACTACGTGAAGCAGACCTTACCACCAATCATACAACAACATCGTGATTAAAGCCGATCAGATAAAGGAAGCAGATTTAG